AATTTAAAAAAGGAAGAGACGTTATGAAGAGAAAAGCTGTTAGTCCCGATCTGAATGGTTAAAATTTAAATCCGTGCAGCATTGCGGTAGTATTCAAATAAATTCTTTTTAATACTGAAATATTTTCCTTTGCAAAGTAAGATCTGCCAACGAAATTAAATATTCAAACGTGTATGAAACTGCCTTGGGACACGCGAAAGTAATTTTTGCCAAATGTGGTTAGGATGGACTAAAAAGGTTTTTGTGATCACTTTGTTAACGCACGCGATGTTTGTAAATAAGCGGAAAATTGTATATAAGTCGACACCAAACCATTTATGTACACATTTCCGTTGAGGTTTCAACAAATGAATGTATTAGGATGTTATTTTCAAAGAAATTACTACTACGGTAGTTTGGTAGTTTTATTTATTTCTTCAATTAATATTCAACTTTTATCTCATCGTAGTAAATTCCACAACTACGCAATAGTCGCTGATCAAAAAGGCGATGATGCGACGATTAAAATAGACAATTAACACTCGTCCTGAAGATGGACCCCGACAGGTTCGTAACTAGTCGGTGTTGCAACCGTAAAATTAGACATTTATTTAAATGTCTCAGGAGAGTTCAATCAATTTAAAAATGCAGTGTACAGGGCATAATTAACTGCGAACAGACTAATTTAATATTTATTTGTGAGGAATGTGGCATATGTTGCGGTTAGCAGCTGCGTTACCAGTTATGGCACACCTGACGTCAAACTCACGTTTCCTCATCCTGTATATTCTTAGTCACATTTCTGTAGATCTTGTCCCAGTTAATATTTTGTGCGCAAATCATTGCCCAACGGCCCGCAAGCCGCACCTAATATGGTTCAGTATAAAATTTTATACACAACAGTCATACTATTGTTATCCTTGTCTGTTTGCTTGTGATGAAAAGGAAGGGAAGGATTTAATCAAATTAACTAACCATATTCGTTTCTTAAACACAGGTGAATGTTTTTAACACAAACATAACCATTTATAATCTTTATTTTTCAATGACATGTATTTCGTTTAACGTCAGAAGAAGACAGAATATGCCTGCTATACTGCTTTGTCTCTCTCTTTTATTTTGTTCGATAAAAGCCCGTTATATTTTAAAAACTCTAATTTATTTGGTTCTATTTTCTTAAGCAACGCTTGCTGAAAGCGATAACTAATCATCACAACAATATTTAGCACTCGGATATAACTAAAAAAGTTTCATATACACTATTATGATAAAGCGTAAACACACACTTCTTTGTTGCCTAAGATGTCAGCAATTACAGCATATTTTTGAATAATTATATTTTAATAAAAAACCCTACACTTACGTCATGCTTTAGGCTATATATTTTCACGCCATTAAACTTAGAGGATAAATATTTTGGGTAAAAATTCTAATGTGGGAAAGAGACCATAAGTTGCTGCCAACATCAAGAAAGTAATATTGCCAAGGTTTCTCATATCATGTTATTTTGACATTTGTTATTAATAATTTGACAAATGTAAACAACAAAATAAAATTTTCATAATTTCATGTAGATAAAGCCGCACGGGAACAGATAGTTTAAGAATAATTTCAGTTTTAGAACAAAAATTAGAAGAGTTGTACGATCATGCTTCGAGAATAATCGTAAAACGTGACTGTGCATGCACATGCAATCTGGATGATAAGCATTCAATAGCAGATAGTACACGGATGCGCGCTGGCCGTCGCAATGCTAGTAAAAGCGATATCGCTATGAAAGTTTTAGTTTAACATTGTCGTTCATGCTGTTTTAGTTATAGTCATTTCATCTTTTACAGAAGTTTTTTTTTGGTAAAAGGTACGAGACAGGAAGCAGCCCCCTTATATCGGTAGAACCTATTACTTTAAGTTGGTTCAAAAGAGTGAACTGAATTGGGCGACCGACCAGGGATGAACATAAAGGGCGCCGTAGATATCTCGCCCAGGGCGCCGGTAACTTTAATAACGAACATGGTCATTCTAGCATATAGAAAGACCAAAAACTCTAATATATTCCCGTATTGTACTGAACACATTTATAAGCAAAAAAAAAATATAGTTTTCATGTAATCGATATTTTATAAACCACAAGATATCCCAAATCTTTGTGGTTGTTCAAAGCCTAATGAAACTGTTACTTTATTTAGTCGCCCACGGTTGTTCTGAATATAAGTATTCTGTTGTTACGACAGTCTTTCGAGGGTCATGTCTTTTCGTGTTTCATTCTATAAGACAAACAGTTACAACAATTATTAAAATTTCATTTATTACGATTATTGAATCGTCTACGCTAAGCGTAGCTTTAGTTTTTACCGAAACACTTTTTATCGTTAAATTAGTTTCTGAAGAAACAATAGAGAATATGCATGTTTTTTTCTTTTTGTAAACGATTCCACTTGTAATAAGATAACCATTAAATTACGATTATTTTCGTGCGACTAAAACGCCACCGGAGTTGGCATGAGACAACTGACGTCAATCGTCACATTTCATTCATAACATACGATCAGATGTCACTTCGATGCATATTACCTATTCCCGTTTTTCGCGTTAGCGTTAAAATGACCTAAGTCGTTGAGACAAAAAGAGTAATGTTGGAGACACTTTTATTACAACTTTAATGGACCAAAATATTCAATTACCTCAAGAAGTGGACGACTGTGAGCGAAGACGTAATACATCCTCTTTACACTCAATCAGATCCAAATCAGATGACATTTGATAAGCGATATCTCCGTACTTACAGCGACATTGCCCCCAAAGGATGTTTTATATTGAACATTTCTCATGCGATTATCAGAGTTGTTTGATTGGATGATTGTCACATGCAAGGGGTGACACGTGATTTAACTCGACTGCAAGGCGGGTGGGTTGCGGTTAATCGGATATTACATATGTAGTTATGTAAAAGAATTATCTATGTATAAAAAGAGGTGATTCTCTAATTGATTAATGACATGAACATAACTTAACCTCAGTACGAAATTATCCTAACAACAGAAAAATTGTTTTATTACTATTGTTTAACGTTTTATTGTAAATATTTGTTTTTTAAATTTAGTATTTTAAAATATTAACTGTAATGTAAGTTTTAATCACACACTAACTTTACTTGTAAATTTAGTTTTTAATTTAATTTATTGATTTTAAACTGGGCTAGAATAAGATATACAAACTGTGATATAGAAATAAGAAACCTGTAATTTTAGATTTAGACCAATTGTAAACTTTTTTGAAAATAAAAACACCAGCATCCCAGGTACCTGAGAAACATATGTCAGGGGAGCGACGAGAGCCGCAGAAGCCGCATAAAAAAAAACAATAGAAAAATATCCTAGTGTTGTCACAATATCAATCACTTACAGCAGAGATTGCTGTAAATTCTTTTATTTTCTATAGGTCTACCTCTGAGACCTACATAGTTATGTAATTCTTTTTGCCACATGAGTGCAATAAAAACACATAAATGGGCATGCATTGTTTATATAAGACAACTTTAGATGGTGACCTTTGTTTACACCTTGAATATACTACATAATGTAGACATGACCCTGTATTTATGGAACAATGAACACCCTTTATCTAAATATGTTACAGCTATTAATAAAGAAATGTCACACATTATCCTCCAACTCAACCTATAGATATTGTGTTTCATATAATTATATTTTAAACTAGCTATTGCTCGCGACTTCATCCACGTGAAATTAAAAAATAATAAAAATGTCAATGTTTATGGGCAGCGGTTGCTTTCTGTTTTGGTTGATTCAAATGGCCACTTTCTCGCTTGCCACCTTATGTTACAAAAAAATACCATTTATACTTAACATTAACAATATGAATGTTTAAATGGGTGAACTTGTTAAAAGGTATCACTGGAATAACTCATCAGATTTTGTTAAAATTTAACA